TTGCATTATATATTAGAATCCAAGTCTGAAATGCTGAATAGATTACCAGGATTGGCATAGTACATGCCTGTGTAGTTATTAGTCTACATTCTTGTTGTTTAGTAAAATATTATATGTACTTTTCATGTACATATCCATGTCTCCATATAATGTTCAAGAGGTGTACTTGGTATACTATATCTCAGCCTAGCTCTCCCCATGTGTTCACCACGGCTGCCAGTTGCAGAATGAGCTGTGAGTTTACAGTACCCGAATTTATTGGGTGGTTTTATAGTCCAACCTTCCTCTTTAAACTTCATGTAATTTATTGTTTTTACTGTGTAACTCTAACCACTAGGTTACTCATGAATAGAAATACTAGTACGCAAAAACAGGTCGATTGCTATTGTTTGGATTGATGTTTTGTGACTGCTGCACACTTAACAGTCAAATTAACAGAGAATCTACAACAGTAGTCTAGTACAGTGGCCTGCTTACAAGTTACGGGTCTACTGATATTATATAACTTACTAGTCTAGCTACTGATAAAATATGTCATTGATTACGGATGAGAAGTACGGCAGACACAATCTACGATCGTAGCTAACTACATGTACAGTATACGTACATGTGTAAAACTAACCTAGGCCTGGAGCCCAGGCAGCGTCTGTTGTGAAAACCAGCGGGCTGACTGATTATTCCAGACTGATCCCAATTTGACCGTATTTTGGATAAATTGCTGATACATATAAACTGTCTGATCAGCAATAAGTCATATTCATAGTTCATGCCTGTTGCATTCATAACGATGGGTTTGTTTTATGATTTCCGACGATGCTTACCCGGGAGGAGGCTCTGAATTTTTTGGCGGAGGATCTAAAGATCACAGAGGTAGAGAGGAGACTACTGGATAACAAGCTTGGTCTTCTAAATGAAGCCATCCGCTCCTACCACAACTCCGTACCATTTCAAAACATAATGCTCTTTTCAACGGAAACAAAGGACAGATCAGCCCCTACGCAATATCAAACAAGACGTATTGTCAGGAAAAGGCGGGCTATGCATGACGCAAAACGTCTTCTTCTTCTACTTGCTACAAACGCTGGATTATGATGTCTTCTTGATATCTTCGAGTGTTTCCTATCCGATTAGCCACGTCATTATAGGTGTGCGAAACGTGGCGGGAAGAGATGACGTCTTCCTCGCAGAGGTCGGATGTGGCCACCCAACATTCCAGGCGATTCCTCTCAACTTCCAGGAGGAGTCGCCGATTTACCAGCACTCGTTTCTTGAGTACAGGTTTGTGAAAAAGGGGGAGCTGATCGAGAGACAACATCGCCGCGGGGACAGTCGTCCTCTGGGCCCCGGACAGCAGCCTGGTACCTGGCGCCGGTTCTACGACTTCACGCTCGAGCCGAGGGACGTGGAGTTCTTCCGGGAACCCATGAACACGGTCTACACGGTTCCGGGAAGGTTTCTGCAAAGTTTGCGCGTCATCACGTTCCAGAAGGACAGACTTCGGGCGATCAAAGACTGGTCTCTGTTGGAGGAACAAGACGACCATACACTCAGGGAAACTCAGATATATAGTGCTGGGGTCCGCGCGGACCCAAGGTGTACTGTTTAGGGTTATACAGGCGCCAGACGGTCTACAGAAACATCGGCAGGTAAATTCCTCTTGGTTGTCTATGAAGAATACTAATAGAGCTAAAGTAAATACATAGATTATGGGAAAATATGGACTATTCTAACAGTACTGAGCAGTACTGAGTCTGCAGAGGATGTCATCTATAAAATTTACTTGCTGTGGTCCTATATCTGACACTGGGGACAAGATAGAATACGTATGCTATGTCCTCAGTAGTCCCAGCAGGCATATGACTGTTCTTCAAGAAAAGTAAATGAATGTTGGACGGTTGCAACCTCCACACAACTGTTATAATAGACTTATATCCTGTTATCCAACCAACCAACCAACCAACCAACCAACCAACCAACCAACCAACCAACCAACCAACCAACCAACCAACCAACCAACCAACCAACCAACCAACCAACCAACCAACCAACCAACCAACAACAAACAAACAAACCCACCAACAAGCAAACAAAGCAACAAATTAACCAAACAACTAACAACAAATGATGAGACAGTAACATATCCCTGATGGATTAAACACCTCCTGACATTTGGTGATCGAAACATCTGGATAAACAAGACCTGTCATGCCGTTATTGTCTGCTGGCAAGAACGCACATAAGGATAGGGCTGGTGCTGTCCTTGGTGCTGATCATGTCATTCCGCAGGTACCTGCTAGATGGCTCTTCAACACAGTATCGTCACTTTAAATGTGCAATGAAGCTAAGTGCAGTGGACCAGTTATACCTAGCTTTAGTGCTAAGTGAACCAGTAACAAATAGTAAGAACCCGTATAAGGAAAGGGCTGTTATGTAATGTAATGTAAATACCAGGGATGAACAAGGCCTGTTATGTAATTGTTGTCTGCTTGTAAAAACGCACATAACAGTAAAACTCGTGCTGTCCTTGGTGCTGATCATGTCATTCCGCAGGTACTTGCTAGATGGCGCTTCAACACAGTATAGCCACTTCTAGATCGGCACGATTCACGGCAGATGCGGCAGTTATTAATCCACAACAGTCCTCAATAGACAACTATGGGTGTGACTGATAAACATGTATGCAGATATAGCGTATTGTGTGTGTATAAGCTTAAGTTGGGCTACATCTATCATCCTGTATTCTGTTTCCTCAATTGCACACACAAGTAGTACAGTAGATAGGAATTACCACATTGCATTATAAACAATCCTGTCTGTCGGTGAGGGATAGACATCCAGGTAATAAGATACGACAAAAACAGTTACTCAAGCAACTGGATATGATTTTGGAAAGGGTCAGACGTTTCAAATAGCATCAACTACCCATTGTCAGTGACACTAAGAGACTGCAGGAGAATGCAGGCTTATACCATAAGCACAAGCTATTGATTGATGTGCAACTGTCTTTTGGCGTAACAATTCTTTCTATTTGATCTTTTTCTCCTGTTGCTATGAACCTTCCTTCTTACAGTGGTATATGTGTAAGTCATCAGTATGGGGGCGACGGATGGCAGAACTTCGTGTCTTACGGCGTTGTCGTAGGTTGTCGCTCAGTTTTGATGTTGCAGCATTTTGAAGCAGGCTGTGACAGAACCAACCGTGGGCAAGGACCTAAGGACAGGCACTTTACACGACTTTTCTCACTTCGCTTAGGTAAAAATGTGTGTTGTATTGTCCTCTGTGTTGGTGGCGGCATTAGAATAAGTTGAAAAAACTTGTGTGTGCCGTCGTGATTATATGCCGGAATGAAAATGGGTCTAAACAGGACAGCTTATCAGTATGCGTGCACAGCTATCTTAAGAATGACTTTATTTCGCCATCGTACAACAACCATACATCACGTATGTGACCTGCCTCTTAGCGACATTAAACACACATTATGACATATACTCTACAGTTTGCCTCACGTTGTACCGTAAGTCTGTAAGGATGTTTTACAGAAAAAAAAAACATTTTTGTTGTTGTTTACGCTTTTATATTTGATATCTTTAACCCTACCTAGACCGGGGGGGGGGCTAAAAGTGCCCGCGGCAACTTTGATGTCACCTAGCGTCTGAACGGCTAGCCGTAGAACTGCCAAACTTGGTGACTTTTCCTAGAATATAGTTGGCAACAATTCTCTATCATTGGAATAAGATAATGATTTTTTGTGTTGCCATGGCAACGGGTTTCTGACAGGCATTTTTTGCTAAATTTAGTACTTCTTGTTTCAACAATAGAATTTTATGGGTTTTATGTGAAGTTACTCATGGTTTCTAATATTAATAACATCCCATATAATTTTATGTAAATTTTATCATTAAATATGCATAGTTTATGCTAATTTGATGACGTCATTGGCCAAAATCCAAGATGGCGGACCATATCATTAGAACAGGTATATACAGGTTATTTTCATTAAAATTTCATCAATACTTCCATTTCTTTTTCCAAAAAAGGTTTTAATGAAGGTCTTTAGTATATTTACAATGTATTTTAGGCTTTATCATGAAAAAAAACTATTTTTGAAAATTCAAGATTGATGATCCAAGATGGCGGATATCTTAAATATGCATGACGTCATTTTATGACGTCACCGGTGTTGCTATGGGCAACATAAGACTTAGTACACCATAATATTCATAATATATAAACACTTTTGGTACAGTTATGTTGAATACCATTTAGTTTTCAGGGAAAAACCTATTTAGACGGTTTTGGCCAATAAAATCACATTAATGACGTCATAATGACGTCATATTACGTCATAACGACATAAAAATTGTAGATATGATAAATTTTTACTAGTACACCATCCTCTGAAAATTTGGTGGTCATACGACATACCGTTCGCGAGTTCTTAGGGGGGGGTCAAAAGAGCCCCCCCCCCCGGTCCCCCCATGTCAAAAAAAGCCCGGTCTAGGTAGGGTTAAGGCAAACGTTTCGACCTTTGGATGATCACTACTAAAAAGTTGTCTTTGGTATCTTTGGTATTTTTTACGGTATCTGGAAGAATGAATCCCCCACCAGGGTTGTAACCCCTGTGTCTTTATTGAAAGATTGAAACACTGAAAGATTCTGCAATACCTGCATTCCTTACTTGGTAAACACATGTGACCAATAGTTTCTTCTTTAATAATTGTTAGTAGAAATTTGAACGTATGTACGTATATGTATTTTTTATACAATATATGCAATATTACGCTCTAAAAATATTTTTAACGAATCGTGTCGAATTTTAACCATTGTATGTGTAAATCGAAATTTTAATGTGTATATCAGTAATTCATGTCGTCGCGAGTACCGTCCGACGGTGACCACTTTGTATATTTGTTATTTTGGACAAGGGTAATTATGTTTTAACTAATTAGCACATTCTGTAGTTGCAACCAATTCAGGGCCCATGCCCAGCGAGATGTACGAAGAATAATAAACCAGTATTATTATTTATCATTTGACACTACGAGGTGCATGAATGTGACGTTTATGTGAATTTGATCGAAAAACTGAAAATGATATACACGTACTTTAATATAATGTGACTTCAGAAAAAAAGGAAAAGCGTTATTGTCATACTTGTAGTGGATCGAAATTTGCGCAGTTATCAAAGAACTGGAGCGGAATGATATGTGATTGGCGGAAAAGGAGTTAGACAGAGTGCAAAGAGACATGTGGACATTATATAAAGTCCTCGCATAGTTTAACGGAAAATGAGCTAAAAGGGCAAGGACGCATACCTTATTGGAAGCTTTTAAATTAGGATCATTGCTTCATTTAGGTACGCCTATTTCAAGACCATCGATATAAAACAACATATTAAGAACTACGTAGTCCTTTCCATGCTCACAGGGTATTCAATTTGTGAGCAATAAAGCTATAATGACATGGTATCGAAAAACAGATTGGATATATGCAGTAGTGTCTCCATAGTTAGTTAAAAACTCCTGAGTATTTAACGATTAGCGGTAACTAACTGCTTTGCTCTAATCGCACTTTTACAAAATCGAATGTATTTCAATAGTGTTACAATATTAGGATGCGTTATGTTGTCCCCATAGACAACTTTCATTATTCTCAACGACACCTCGTAATACCTGAGGGCTTTACTGTGGTCACCTAGTTTGTCCCAACATACTCCAATGTTACTAAGCGATAATGCAATGTCGGGATGTACTGCGTTTTCACCATAGATGGCGTACATCATCTTCAATGACTGTTCGTGATAACTGATAGATTTCCTCTCATCATCAAGGTCGCGATAACAATTTCCAATGTTGTTTAGTGATGCAGCAATATCGGGATGTGGCGTTGTTTCGCCATAGATTGCTTTCCACATCTTCAGTGACTGTTCGTAATAACTAGCAGCTTTCCTCTGATCTCCAAGGTGCCTCCAACATACCCCAATGCTGTTTAACGATGTAGCGATGTCGGGATGTGGCGTTGTGCCGTAAATAGTTTTTTTCATCTTCAGTGCCAGTTCGTGATATCTGATAGCTTTCCTCTGATCGCCAACATTACGCCAATATATCCCAATGTTGGTTAATGATGAAGCAATATCAGGATGGTCCGTTGTTTCACCATAGATAGCTTTCTTCATCTTCAGTGACTGTTCGTAATAACTGATAGCTTTTGTTGGTTCACCAAGGTCACTCCAACAGTTTCCAATGTTATTTAGTGATGAAGCAATATCTGGATGTGGCGTCGTTTCACCATAGATAACTTTCTTCGTCTTCAGTGACTGTTCGTAAAACCGAATAGCTTTTTTTTGATCACCAAGGTTTCTCCAACATACTCCAATATCATTTAATAATGACGCAACGTGTGGATGTTCTGTTTTTTCACCATAGGTAGTCTTTACCATCTTCAGTGACTGTTCAAAAAACATGATAGCTTTCCTATAATCACCAAGGCTGCTCCAACAGTTTCCAATGTTAGTTAATGATGCAGCGATGGCGGGATGTTCTGTTGTTTCACCATTGATAGCTTTCCTCATCTTCAGTGACTGTTCGTGATAACGGATAGCTTTCCTTAGATCACCAAGCTTGCCCCAACATCCACCAATGGCACCTAATAACGAAGCAATGTCCGGATGTGGCGTTGTTTCACCATAAATAGCTTTCCTCATTTTCAGTGACTGTTCATGATACCTGATAGCTTTCCTCTGATTGCCAAGGCCGTGCCAACAGTTTCCAATGTTATGGAATGATGTAGCAATGGCGGGATGTGCTGTTGTTGGGCCATAGATAACTTTCATCATCTTCAGTGACTCTTCAAAATACTTGATCGCTTTCCTCTGATCACTGAGCTTGCTCCAACATATTCCAATGTTATTTAATGATGAAGCAATGTCAGGATGCGTTGTTGTTTTCCCACAGATAGCCTTTGTCATATTCAGTGACCGTTCGTGATAACTGATCGCTTTCTTCTCGTTACCAAGCTCGCTCCAACATTTAGCAATGCTGCCTAATGATGAAGCAATGATCAGGTGTTCTGCTGTTTTGTCATAGATATCTTTCGTCAACTTAAGTGACTGTTCGTGATAATTGATAGCTTTCCCCTGATCGCCAAGTTCACTCCAACAGTTTCCAATGCTATTTAATAATAAAGCAATGATGGAACGTACTTTGGTGTCTCCAGTAAGAGTGTTTCCAGCACAAAGTGCCCGTTTATAGCAGCTGATCGCTTTCTCATAGTCACCGCAACTGTAAGAGACATTTCCTAATTGAAAAAGTATGTCTAGCTGTTTTTTGTCGTCACTATCCGCCTCTTTTAGCGCTGCTTCCAAATAACGCATGGATTCATCGAAATAGAACAGTTGCTGTCTTATTCTACCCTTTGTTTGAGATGAGTTGTCAAAAATAGCTGTCTGGAATATGTTATATATGGTTGGACCTTCATTTGCAATCATATCCATAATACAACTGTTTAATGGAATGGCTGTATAGTAGTACCGGAACAGCATTTTTCCGTTCGGTATGTAGAAAACAGACTGAAAGAAGGTGTCATCTGCGTCATTTTTATCCAGTTGAACTTTCATCTCCGTGAGAGGAGACAGTCTGTCCTTCTGTCCTCCGTTAGCAATGTACGTTCTTAAACGCAGCTCCGCTGAGATGCTGATCAGTACAGTCAAGTGGTGGGCATCTTCGTCACTGATCCGCTGTGTCTTGTGTAGCTCTTCTATCATTCCCCACACACTGGGGATTGTAATACCACAGCAAATACTAAACACATCAATGGCCAGGCTGGGAAGACGGTATATTTCTTTCTTGACATCCAGAAGTTGGCCCGTTGGTTCAACGTTTTCTATTTGTCCAATATTATCCTTAAACATTAGCATTGCTGACAACCGTGACAGAACAGGGGTGCGCTCTACGCTTTTGTTGACAATGTATGTATACTCATCTACCAAAGACTCGTCCCCTGTTAAGTAGGTCACCCGTCTGAGTATATCTGACAGGTGATAGCCTTCCGCCAGGGCAATTCTGATATTCTGATACTTAGCCAACTCGGAAGGAGTCTGGATGAGACTAACGGGAGGTTTTCTTTTGGTTTCGTCTCTTCCAAACGGAGTCTTAGAAGCCCATGGCATGAAGCCGTCGAAGGCGAAGCCGCGAGGTGTGACGGAGTCGTAGAACCAGTCTTTCTCTGGGTCTTCTGAGAGAAAGTCGTTGAGTGACGGGATGGCCATGGCTGGGAGGATGGTTTCCCCAAGGTTGATGACTTTGAGATGTAAGTAGTGTGTGAGATTTAGGAAGTACCTCCGTCTATCATCATCATCCATCCTCTCCTCAATCAGAATGGCGAACTCCAGGTCGGAGTACGGCGTCACCAGTTCTGTGGCTTGTGACCCCAACCCGATAAAAGCGTACTTACAGGGAGGGGGTCCGAGTTTGGCGATGCATTCATCTGTTAGTACTTGGATAAACTCTCGTCTTTCAACTGTGATAGTCTTGAACAAGTTCTTGATTGCTTCAGCTCGTTTGGTTTCCACCTCTCTCACGACGGGATCGTCTTCATCATACTGATAAGGGTTGTGTTCCTGATGAACTGTTTCGAGCTGAGATTTTGCACGGGCGCGCGAGTTGTCCAGTTCCTTTATGTGATCTAACGCGCTGCTATACGGACATGGTTCACAGTCAATGTTACAGGTGTTTCTAAGAAACTGCTTTTCTGTTTCTTGCAGTTTTGATAACATGTTTGGTTTGTCTCCATCTGACCGCGCCATGGAGGCGTTATACAGAGCTGCCGCCTGTGTGAATTTCCTACCTTCTCCTGTCCGCTTACCTCGCTCGACGTAAACGTCACCCAACCTGTACAGACAGTCGGCTTCTTTAGTCTTGTTGGGTTTACTGCGATCTGTAGGTACGGAAAAGAAAAAAAAGGACAAAATCCCAACAGTTATATTCAGCTTAGTTCTAAGGAAGATATTTGTATTCCAACTGGTGAAGGTCACTGTACAAATAACACTTTTATTATATAACACTTCAATTTTTAACTATGGCTAGATGGTGCGTGCAAAGAAACTGCAAAACAGACCGTGAACCAGCTCCAGGGCGGCTGCTAGGTTCTGCTCCGCTGCATCCAGGTCTCCTTTGCTCAGGTCACTTTCTGCCGCCTGGATGTACCCGCGGTAGGATCTGGACAACAAAACACGTTTTGAGAAAAACGTACTTCACAAAGGCGACAAATGCTACAAAGTGTTTGACATAGAATCACTCCATTATTTACGTAGTATTACATAAAATTGAACAATGAAATTGATAATACATTTCTAGCCAGCAGAATACTAAATGACCCCTTGTTTATGTTTTATAGTTATTTGGATTTGAAAGAATCAACTCTACTCAATACGTCAGAGAAGGAAACATAGAGGCACTAACATGTCATCGTCAACTTGACAGGTGGTTCCCTCGTTAGTGGGCGTAGCTGAGAAGGCAGAGAAGTGGCCCTTCCGTCCTCTCACGCCTTGTTGTCGTAGACGTGTTGACCTCTGCGAGAACCGATAGCAATCAACCGGTTTTCTATTATGAACTTTGACCAATGGTCAAAGTTGAAGGACGCTACATGTACGTAATCCGCGGAAGGTCACTATGTTGCGTTCGCGCTGACCTCTACAAAAACCGATCTACAAGAGCCTGACCTGACCACCGGAAGGTAACTCAAAGTAGACATGTTAAATGTTGTGACATGACCGGTTGTTGATTTGAAATTCATGAACACAACGGTTCATAGTAATGACCTTAGTCTATGCACAGACAAAAAAAAAAACTAGAAAGGCCGACATTTGCTTTGGAGCAAATTCAGCATGACTTCACCACATTTCACGACATGGCAGGGAAAGAAGGAGAAATACAAGGGAAGACAGTTCTTTACATTGATATAACTATAGTAGGAAGTGACAACTGTTAATTGCATAATGCAAACTGTTGATTTTCATGATAAAAAGAAGCGTTTATACCACACTGGAGCAGGGAAGCCTGACATACCCACCAAAACACTTGAATAAAGTCCATACTGTCAATATGGCATGGCTTTGTGCAGGTGTTAATTGAGTTAAAGCAATCAAATCCGAACAGCCAATCAGCAAGGAGTTACGTGCCTATTTGGTTGCCTTCTTTACATGCCATTCTGATGACTAATGCCCAAATGTGGTAACACACTGCTATAGTACATTTTCTATAACACAGCCAAAAAGCTAAAAATGAAACCATTCTAAAAGCCTGTATCCCAAAAATAAAAATAAAACTCCTGAGGGTATTTACCCACTCTACCTTCATGCCAAATTTCATGTTGTTTGGCCCAAAAATGAAGGAGTTGTATCAATTTAAAGAAATGTCAGGAGGAGAAGAAGAAGGAGGAGGAGAAGAAACGTGAGCAAAAACAATATGACATCACCACTATAGTGGTGAAGTCATAAAAACAAGCAAACAAATGTGTTCTGTCGTCAAAAGGACGTAGAACACATTCTACCCAAATCACAACTTTGTAGGCGGAAACGATGAAGTAAATATATTGATTAAAGAGGTAACATTCTTAGCAGTGGAAAATATTTTTACCATGAATCAATAATATGCCTTTCTCCATTAGCGGTGCACGACGACGATTTATGGACATAAACAAACCGAGTTGAAACCCGGTCAGCACTAGCGAGTCATGCTCAAGTCAAAATAATTCTCTCACCTTGTTCCTTGTGGCGATATCTTGCCTGATTTTTGCGGTGTGCAGTAAGCGGTGAACAATGACAACTGTTCCATGAACGTTGTGACACCGCGCCAGTGCCCTGTTGTACAGAGCAGTAGCTCTGGTCAAGTTTCTAGTGTCTCCAGTTTCTGTTCCTCTTTTTAGATACACGTCACCCAGACTCTTGATCGCTTCTGTTTCTAACATGCTGTTGTCGTTTACTATCGCCTCTACCATCACCTGTGCGTATCCAACCACCAAAGAATCTGTGTTACCTCCAAACGCCAATGTCTTGTCCAGATCTTGAAACTTTGCCGCTACCTTTGCAGGTGTAGTCGTCTCATTGTCGTCAGTTGGCTGTTCCTTACCCTGTGACGACAGCCCTTGTAAAAGCCTCTCCGTGTAGTGGTAGCGGTGTTCTATACCATCTGCCTGTTCTTCATGGTAACACCGTACCATAGCGGCCAGATAAAGCGCCAAGGCTGTGTTGAACTTCCCCACGTCCTTCCCGAGTCTTCCCTTCTCCACGTTCACGTCGCCCAGAGTTTTGAGCAGCTCCACTTCCGCCAGCCTGTCCGTGTCGGCCATGGCGTCCACCAGGGCACGGAGGTAGCCTGTCTCCGCCCGGGCTAGTCCGTACCTCCTGCCCTTCTCGTCCGCCTCACGGAGTTTCTCACACACCCGCAACATGGCAACTTTCTGCTACGAAAATGTCTCCTAACTCCTTGTGTTCATGGTCTCCATGCTAACGTTATGCGCCTGACTTGAACAGGCGCAGGTTTCACAATGCTTGTGTCAACAATACGTCATTCGCCAAAGAGGAGGTCAAAGGTTCAACACACAAAAAGGTTAAAAAATACCCGTTAACTGTAAACATATCAGGTAACCTGCCTACCTGCCTGAACCTTAAGTGCTCAGACTGGGGCTTCTCGCTTAACACAGGTTTTAGGCAGCCCGGTTTTTCGCTGCCACTACTGCGCCTGTAGGTGCTAAAAATAAGTCTAGTGTCCTCTTTGATTTGATGTTTGCACCATTTTGGGATCTTTTAGGTGGTGTCGTGTTCGGAAAACCCTGCTGGTATACTTTCATCTTTGCCGGGGCTCTGAGGTGTTATGCGAGCCCCGGCTACACCCCCATATAGCCCCTGTTGGGGGCACTTTAGGGGAAAATATACCTATACTTTATAGTTATACCATATCTGTACAACCAGTACAATCTGTATACAGTACAGTATATTGGTGATCAACTGGACACTTAAATTACTATCTGGCCGTAAAATTCGCTCTACTTTACACTTATTGACTGTGCAGTTTGTTGGTCTGTACTCGTGTTTCCTGGACCTAACTTATCTCACATTTTACCGTTTAAAATGTTGCCGTATATGGTGTTAATCATCTGCGCTATTGCAATTGGTGGTATTGGTCGTGTTATTGCTGGGGATACGTTTTTTTATGTATTTTTTCGGGGGTGGGTGTCTTTCGTGGGTGGTGGGGTGGTGTGACAGATTGCAGAACTTCCTGTCTTACGGCGTTGTCGTAGGTCGTCGCCCAATTTTGATGTTGCAGCATTTTTAATGCAGGCTGTGACAGAACAAATTGTGGACAAGGATCTACGTGAAAGACACTTTACACGACTTTTCTCACTTCTCTCAGGTGAAAATGAGTATTGTACTGTATTGTCCTCTGCGTTGGTGGAGGCATTAAAATAAGTTGAAAAAAACTTGAGTGTGATTACATGTGGATAAAAGGATATAAGGCGAATTTGTCCAAAATGAGACAGGTTTTCAGGCTGCATGCATAACCATCTCAAGAATGACTTCCATTTGCGACCGTACAACAACCATACATAACTTATGTGACCTGCCCCTGAGTGACATTAAACACACACTGTGACGTATAGTTTACAGTTTGCCTAACATTGTACTGTTTGTACTGTAAAACCTGTAAAGATATTGTTAAGAAGGGAAACCCTTCACTTTATCATTGTTGTTTTGTTTACATTTGTTCATAAAGTAAAAGGCAAACGTAACATCAAAAGCCGTTTCAGGCCTCTTGAAGATTTCTTGCGTATCTTTTGCAAATTAATTTTTGGTTTGATTTATTGAAATTGCAATAGTGCAATACACGCGGAACATACTAGTAGGCAGCTGTTGCTGGTGTTGTGTCCTGCACATAGAAACGAATACTGGACAGACAAAACTCATTTTCACTTAAGTCTAGTGGGAAAAATTGTGTGAAGTGCCTTTCCCAGGGACACAAGATCAGTGGCATGTCAGGACTCGAACCCGGGACCTCTTGATTCTGAGTCGCTAACACTGCAGTTGCGCCACACGACCCCACTGCAAAATTAGAAAAGTACTTGGATATGGAATCCTCCACCCTCCTTGCCTTTACCTTTGCATACTTGTAATCTGCCTACTTGTAATTTGAAAAATCTTCCCAAAGAATCATCCCAAAACACAAGGCCATGATACAGAAAACCCCTTAAAGATCCATTCATGACTATAATCTTAGGACCAGTCCTGTCCACCATGTTGGTCATCCGCATCTTTCATCCACCATAACTTCTGTTCACTCACTCACTCACTCACTCACTCACTCACCCGGAATTGGCGGAATAGCTGAATTGGTAGTCTGAGTGATCGCTTTGTAACCGGGAGGTCGTGAGTTCAAACCCCGGCCAGGTCATACCAAAGACTTTAAAAATGGTACATACTGCTTTCTCTGCTTAGCACTCAGCATCTATGAGAAAGAGTGGGAAGGTCAAACACAGAGCACTACCAACGCACTAGCCCCCTGCTGTAGTGCCTTGCACAACCGTGTGTCACCCAAAGGCTACGAAATGGAGATGGGCACCACTCTACACTTGGCAGAAGAGCACGGGAGACCTTCCTTCCACTCACCCACTCATTTCATTGAGCTTACTCGGAACTAATATACATGTATGCCTTTGTTTCCTTTATTCATTGTTGTGACAGAGAGAGAGAAAGAGAGAGAGACTGATTTATTTGTACCATACAAGTACACACAAAAGCCTGTAAGCAGTCATATTTGGCTGAATTGAGAAGGCTTTAAAACATAAAATACACTTGAAGTACAGCTATTTGATAAAAGTTCGTTACATTTGATAAAAACCGTTGCATATCAAGTTTACATTAAAAATTACACGTTAAAAGTACAATAATGCAATATAATACAATAATGCAATATAAACACAGTCGTGCGTATCCATAATTAAAGATATAGAACATAAAGGAATTGTCCAAATGGCTGCCTAAACGTACAATGAGTGCAAGAAATTCCACCAAAGACTACAAGTACATCTATTAGTCTCCCTACGCAATACATAGTCTTGCAAAGTACATTAGTTCCCTTATTATGTAATAGAAGCTGCCATACTTACATAGTAAGCAATTTGTGACCAAGATAGCTATGTAATGACATGATATTGCAGATTGGAGATGTTCAGTAGTGTCTCCATAGTTAGCTAGTCCAGAGTGACGATTTGCTATAACTACTAACGGCTTTACTCTACTCGAGAAGGGCACTTTTACAGGATCTAATGTTGTTCAGTACTGTTAACATGTTGGGATGTACCGGGTTGTCCCCGTAAATTACTTTCATCATCATGAGTGATTCTTTCCAATAGCTCATGGCTTTACTGTGATTACCGATTTGTTTCCAACATGCCCCAATGTTGTTTAGTGTTGAAGCAATGTCGGGATGTGGCGTTGTTTCGTCATAGATAGCTTTCTTCATCTTCAGTGACTGTTCGAAATAACTGATAGCTTTCATCTGGTCACCAACGTTGCCCCAGCAGGACCCAATGTTGTTCAGTGATGAAGCAATGTCGGGATGTGGTGTTGTTTCGCCATAGATAGCTTTTTTCATTTTCAGTGACTGTTTATGATAACTGATAGCTTTCCTCTGATCACCAAGGTCACTCCAACAGTTACCAATGTTGTTTAGTGATGATGCAATGTCAGGATGTGGCGTTGTTTCCCCATAGATAGCTTTCGTCATCTTCAGTGACTGTTCGTAATAACTGATAGCTTTCCTCTGATCACCAAGGTGACTCCAACAGTTACCCATGTTGTGAAGTGATGATGCAATGTCGGGATGTGGCGTTGTTTCGCCAAAGATAGCTTTCTTCATTTTCAGTGACTGTTCGTAATACCTGATAGCTTTCCTCTGATCTCCAAGGTCTGTCCAACATGCCCCAATGTTGTTTAGTAATGACGCAATGTCAGTATGTGGTGTTGTCTCGCCATAGATAGCTTTCATCATCTTCAGTGACTGTTTGTAATAACTGATAGCTTTCCTCTGATCACCAAGGTCACTCCAACACTTCCCGATGTTGTTGAGTGAAGAAGCAATGTGGGGATGTGGTGTTGTTTCGCCATAGATAGCTTTCCTCATCTTCAGTGACTGATCGAAATAACTGATAGATTTTTTCTGATCACCAAGGTGACTCCAACAAGCCCCAATGTGGTTTAATGATGAAGCAATGTCGGGATGTGGCGTTGATTCCCCATAGATAGCTTTCTTCATCTTCAGTGACTGTTTGTAATAACTGATAGCTTTCCTCTGATCACCAAGGTTATTCCAACATGCCCCAATGTTATTAAGTGATGATGCAATTTTAGGATGTGGCGCTGTTTCCCCATAGATAGCTTTCATCATCTTCAGTGACTGTTCGTAATAACTGATAGCTTTCTTCTGATCACCAAGGTCACTCCAACATGCCCCAATGTTGTTTAGTGATGAAGCAATGTCGGGATGTGGCGTTGTTTTGCCATGGATAGCTTTCATCATCTTCAGTGACTGTTGGTGATAATTGATAGCTTCCCTCTGATCACCAAGGCCACTCCAACAAGTCCCAATATTTCCAAGTAACGAGTAAAATTCTGAACGCATTTCGGTGCCTGCATAGACATTATTTCCAGCGCTCAGTGCCCGTTCATAGTAGCTCTTTGCTTTCTCATAGTCACCGCGACTGTGTGAGACACTGCCTAACCCCAAAAGTATGTCAAACTGCTTTTCCTCGTCACCACCCGCTTCTTCTAGTGCTGCCTCGAAGTGCAGTATGGATGCGTCTAACTGCAACAGCTCTTGTGTTATTCGACCCCTGGTTTGAGATGAGTTGTCAAAGATGGCGGTTGGAAATATCTTTTTGTTTTGGTTTTTCTTTTGAACTGTATCCACAATGCATCTTTTTAACGGAATGGCTGTATAGTAGTACCTGAACAACATTCTAGAATCTGGTATGTGGAAAACTGACTCAACGACGGTGTCATCTATGTCGTGTTTTTCCAGTTGGACTTTCATTTCCCTTAGAGGAGACATTCTGTCCTTCTGTCCTCCGTTTGCAATGTACGTTCTTAACCGTAGCTCCGATGAGATGCTGATCAGTACAGTCAAGTGGTGGGCATCTTCGTCACTGATCCTCTGTGTCTTGTGTAACTCTTCTATCATTCCCCACACACTGGGGATCGTGATACCACAGCAAACACTCAACACATCAACAGCTACGCTGGGAAAACGGTAAATTTCCTTCTTCACATCCAGAATTTGCGCTGTTGGTTCAACCTTTTCTATTTGCCGAATATCATCCTTCAGTATTAGCATTGCTGACAGTCGCGACAGAACAGGAGAACGGTCTACACTTTTCTTGACTCTGTTCACATAATCTTCCACCAAAGACCTATCCCCTGTTAAATATGTCACCCGTCTGAGGATGTCTGACAGGTGATAGCCTTCCGCCAGGGCGATTCTCATATTCTGATATTCGGCCAACTCGGCAGGAGTCTGGATGAGACTAACGGGAGGTTTGGTTTTGGTTTTGTCTCTTCCAAACGGAGTCTTAGAAGCCCATGGCATGAAGCCGTCGAAGGCGAAGCCGCGAGGTGTGACGGAGTCGTAGAACCAGTCTTTCTCTGAGTCTTCTGAGAGAAAGTCGTTGAGTGATGGGATGGCCATGGCTGGGAGGATGGTTTCCCCAAGGTTGATGACTTTGAGATGTAAGTAGTGTGTGAGATTTAGGAAGTACCTCCGTGTATCATCATTATCTTCCCCGTCCTCAGTCAGAATGGCGAACTCCAGGTCGGAGTACGGCGTCACCAGTTCTGTGGCCTGTGACCCCATGCCGATGAAAGCGTACTTACAGGGAGGAGGTCCCAGTTTGGCAATGCATTCATCTGTCAGTACTTGGATAAACTCTCGTCTTTCAACTGTGATGATCTTGAACAAATTCTTGATTGCTTCAGCTCGTTTGATCTCTACCTCTCTCACGACGGGATCGTCTTCATCATACTGATAAGGGTTGTGTTCCTGATGAATTGTTTCGAGCTGAGATTTTGCACGGACGCGCGAGTTGTCCAGTTCCTTTATGTGATCTAACGCGCTGCTATACGGACACGGTTCACAGTCAAGGTTACAGGTGGTTCTAAGAAACTGCCTTTCTGTTTCTTGCAATTTTGTTACCATGTTTTGTTTGTCTCCATCTGTTCTGGCCATGGAGGCGTTATACAGAGCTGCCGCCTGTGTGAATTTCCTACCTTCTCCTGTCCGCTTACCTCGCTCGACGTAGACGTCACCCAACCTGCACAGACAGTCGGCTTCTACGGCCTTGTTGGGTTTACTGCGATCTGTAGGTATTAGAATTAAAGAAAAATTCCAATCAAAAATTAAAATAAAAAAATTAAATAACAAATCGGAGATTTAATTCTTTCTTGGAGTGTTATGATTTGTAAGATGTGTTGCAACTGTATTGGTTAATCATGGGAAATATAGAAATGCAAGTACATCATAGGATTTATTATAACTCATACAATTGTATGATGTAATATACTCCGGTATATATCACACATTCCTGGTGACCTCATACAACCGTATCATTCAGGGCATGCCGGGTCACAACGCTGTCAATTCATCAATCAATTGAAATACAATCTCCAGTGACTCACTTCCAATCCTCGCTCAGAACAAGGTGCATGCAAACCTCCCTTAAAACGACAGTGCCCAAAACAATACTTTCGCACTCGAAGAAATTACATGGTGTAAGCATAGAATGAGTATAACCGACCATGAACAAGCTGCAGGGCGGCTGCTAGGTTCTGCTCTGCTCCGTCCAGGTCTCCATTTCTCACGTCACGGTCTGCCGTCTGGATGTACCTGCGGTAGGATCTAAACAGGGAAACAAGTTTGAACAAACATCAGTTCACAAGGACAAATGCACAAAAAATGTTGTACGATTTTGCCAGCTATGCCGCTGGACTAGAAAGGAATTGTATGCCAGTAATAGTCACAAATTGCTGTTCTACATACTATAGTAACTGAATTGTGAAATAAATATATGGCAATATTTTTTATGTAATTTTGATTAATTGATTATTAGCATTACTTTATGAAAAACTTATGTGTTGTATTGTGCTAAATTTCATTATACGGAATACTAAGTGTTTAAATGCATTACAGAGTTAGTAGGATTTGAAACAATCAACAACAGGTATAACCATATGAAGAATACTAACATTTCTTTGTTAGCTTTTCTGGCTGTTTCTGCATTCTGGAATTCTCTACGAAGTTCCGAAGAGCTGTGAAAAAATAACGTAATGTTTGTTGAATGCTATTGCAAGGAATGTAAGTGAGTATATACCTTTTGGGACGAACATCCCTGTGTATCTAATTTTTTCGTCCATCCATCCATCCATCCATCCATCCATCCATCTATCCATCCATGCATCTATCTATCCATGCATTCATTCATTCATTCATTCATTCATCCATTCATCTATCTATCTATTTATCCATCCATCCATCCATCCATCCATCCATCCATCCATCCATCTATCCATCCATCCATGCATCTATCCATCCATGCATTCATTCATTCATTCATTCATTCATCCATTCATCTATCTATCTATCTATCCATCCATCCATCTATCCATCCATGCATCTATCCATTGATGCATTCATTCATCCATCTATTCATCTATCTATCCATCCATCCATCCTTCCATCCATCCATCCATCTATCCATCCGTCCATCCATGCATCCATCCATCCATCCATCCATCCACCCATCCATCCACCCATGCATCCACCCATTCCTTCCTCCATCCATCCATCCATCTATCCATCCATCCATGCATCTATCCATTCATTCATTCATTCATTCATTCATTCATTCATTCATTCATTCATTCATTCATTCATCCATTCATCTATCTATCTATCTATCTATCTATCCATCCATCCATCCATCTATCCATCCATGCATCTATCCATTGATGCATTCATTCATCCATCTATTCATCTATCTATCCATCCATCCATCCGTCCATCCATCCATCCATCTATCCATCCATCCGTCCATCCATGCATCCATCCATCCATCCATCCATCCACCCATGCATCCACCCATTCCTTCCTCCATCCATGCATCCACCCATCCAAACCACCCTTGTACTTACATGTGTAGACGGCGCATTGCGTTATTAACGTCGTCGCTAGATGGCGCAGCTGAGACGTGACCCTTGCGCCCTCCCACGTCGTCTTGTCCTTGCGTACGTGTTGTCCGCTACGTGAACCGACAGGAAGTCATGAATCATTAACTGGTGAGCAAACTAGCCTCCTGGGCAGGCCCCGCGGCGGTGGGGAAGAGTTTTTAACCCGTTATTTTAATATAGCCAGCTATCGTACATAGCCGCGGGGAGAAGGTTCCTACCTGTTCCGAATTGTTTAAGTTCTTGTTGTGAGGGCTAGCCCTTTATAATAGCCTCCGGCTAGTTGGGCAGTCCTGGCTGTATACATATGTCTTATTCAGCCTAATAAATCAAATCAAAGGTTTCATTCTCGGGCGGAATGGAACCTTCTCTCGGCAGCGATGTAGGATGGCCGGCTATATTAAAATAACGGGTTAAAAACTCTTCCCCCCCGCCGCGGGGCCTGCACAGGAGGCTATGAGCAAACGTACCATTCTACTCACAACTAAACTTAGACGAGTGGTCAAAGGTTAATGACCCGAGGTGACCCCTGGAAAGCCAACGCAAAGTACACGTGTTAAGATGTTGTGACAACTGCTATTGATGATTTGGTCATCATGGACTACATGTGAATGTGTGTACAGTTTTAGTAGGAATTTGAATGATGTAAACTTTATCTTCTGGATATATTTTGTCTGGCCCTTACCTCTTCCCTCATGACCTCAATGATAAGCGGTTTGCATGCCGGTTTGAGCTTTCATGAATAAAGAATGGTTCAAATCAACAAACAAACAAAACAAGAAATCTCTTCAAAGATTTAAAACCTCTGGGAAGTATATAATGCATAATGTTAACAACGACCTCTGAAAATTTAAGAACATCACATTAGCACAGAATAATAAAGGATATTAGTATTGAGCTCATGAAGACAATGCTCAAGCACTACTTCCGTGTTTCTACAAAATGTTTCTTAATTTACTCACCTTGTTTCTTGGTTTGGTGATGTCTTGCCTGATTTTTGCGGTGTGCAGTAAGCGGTGAACAATGACAACTGTTCCATGAACGTTGTGACACCGCGCCAGTGCCCTGTTGTACAGAGCAGTAGCTCTGGTCAAGTTTCTAGTGTCTCCAGTTTCTGTTCCTCTTTTCAGGTACACGTCACCCAGACTCTTGATCGCTTCTGTTTCTAACATGCTGTTGTCGTTTACTATCGCCTCTACCATCACCTGTGCGTATCCACCCAGCAAAGAGTCTGTGTTACCTCCGGTAGCCCGTCTCTCGTCCAGATCTTGGAACTTTACCGCTACCTTTGCAGGTGTAGTTGTCTCCTTGTCTTTAGTTGGCTGTTCTTTACCCTGTGACGACAGCCCTTGTAAAAGCCTCTCCGTGTAGTGGTAGCGGTGTTCTATACCATCTGCCTGTTCCTCATGGTAACACCGCACCATAGCAGCAATGTAAAGCGCCAAGGCTGTGTTGAACTTCCCCACGTCCTTCCCGAGTCTTCCCTTCTCCACGTTCACTTCGCCCAGAGTTTTGAGCAGCTCCACTTCCGCCAGCCTGTCCGTGTCGGCCATGGCGTCCACTAGGGCACGGAGGTAGCCTGTCTCCGCCCGGGCTAGTCCGTACCTCCTGCCCTTCTCGTCCGCCTCACGGAGTTTCTCACACACCCGCAACATGGCGACCCTCTGCTGAGAGAACGTCTGTAAAACTGTTCCCCGTTCTCCGTGTTGGCTTTATGCGCGTGACTCGGGCAAACACAGGTCTGGACAAACATCCCGCTGCTGGTGTCAACATTACATCATCCCTCAGCCGATAACAAGGTCCAAAAGTCCAGTACGCCCACTTATATATAGCCAGCACTCGTAGACATGTCCGTTAGCGTGTTGTATCAGTTGGTTTAATGTTATGTTTTTTTATTTCTCCGCACAGAGTTTCTCACAACTTAACCCACGGTGTTTTTATATTCCAACATTTCGTGACTAGACATGGTGACGGCACACACTTGAAAGTTATATCAATTTATTTTATGCCACCACCAACGCAGAGGACAAATACAGGACAGAAAAAATACTAATTTTTACTTAAGTTAAGTGAGGCAAGTCGTGTTAAGTGACTTTTCCAAGGGCACATTACAAGATAGCACATTACTCGAACCTGGGACCTCTTGGTTCTAAGTCGAGCACTCTGCCGTTACGCCACACGACTCCGGATTATTTTACCTCTGCTATATGTGGTAATGAAAGTATTGTGGAAAAATAAGACCTATCATGCCATCATTGTCTGCTGGTAAGAACGCACATAAGGATAGGGCTGGTGCTGACCTTGGTGCTGATCATGTCATTCCGCAGGCACCTGCTAGATGGCGCTTCAACACGGTATAGCCACTTCTAGATCGGCACGATTCACGGTAGATGTGGCAGTTATTTATATTAGTCCCCAACAGTCCTCAATAGACAACTATGGGTGTGGCTGATATGTATGTAGATATAGCGCATTTTGTGTGGAGGAGGGGGGCTACAACCATCATCCTATATTCTGTTTGCTCAATCGTACATACCAGTTGTCCAGTAGATAGGTATCACCACATTGTTAAAAAACAACAATTTTATTTGATCGTTTTGTTCTGTTGCAATGAACCTGCCTTCTTACCGTCGCTATTGTTGTCATGGTGAGAATCACCGGCTCATTCAATACCATCGTGATGCTGATAATCCACATCTTTCATCATCCATAACTTCTGTTCACTCACTCACTCACTCACTCACTCACTCACTCACTCACTCACTCACTCACTCACTCACTCACTCACTCTCTCTCTCTCTCACTCTACTCTACTCTACTCACTCACTCACTCACTCACTCATTTACTCCCTTATTCACTCGATCACTCACTCACTCACTCACTCTCACACTCACCCATCCACTCACTCACTCACTCACTCATTTCATTGAGCTTACTCGGAACTCATATACATGTATGACTTTGTTTCCTTTATTCATTGTCGTGCTAATCCCTAGATACATTCTAGATATAGAACACAAAGGAATTGTCCAAATGGCTGCCTACTTACAATGAGTGCAAGAAATTCCACCAAAGACTACAAGTCTATCTATTTGTCTCCCTACGCAATACATAGTCTTGCAAAGTACATCAATTCCCCTTATTATGTAATAAAAGCTGCCATACTTACATAGTAAGCAATTTGTGACCAAGATAGCTATTTAATGGCATGATATGGCAAGGCAGATTGGAGGTGTTCAGTAGTGTCTAGTTAGCTAATCCTGAGTGACGATTTGCGACAACTAATAATGGCTTTACTCTACTCGCCGAGGGCACTTTTACATAGTCTAATATGGTTCAGTACTATTGCAATGTTGGGATGTGCCCGATTTTCCCTGTAGATAACTTTCATCATATTCAAAGACTGTTGGTAATACCACATGGCTTGACTGTGATTACCGAGGTGACTCCAACATGCCCCGATGTTGTTTAGTGATTTAGCAATGTCAGGATGTGGCGTTGTTTCGCCATAGATAGCCTTCCTCATCTTCAGTGACTGTTCGTAATAACTGATAGCTTTCCTCTGATCGCCAAGCTGATTCCAACAGTTTCCAATGTTGCATAGTGATGACGCAATGTCAGGATGTGGCGTTGTTTCGCCATAGATAGCTTTCTCCATCTTCAGTGACTGTTCGTAATAAGTGATAGCTTTCCTTTGATCACCAAGGTGACTCCAACATGTCCCAATGTTGTTTAGTGATGATGCAATGCCGGGATGTGGCGTTGTGTTGCCATAGATAGCTTTCTTCATCTTAAGTGACTGTTCGTAATAAGTGATCGCTTTCCTATGATCACCAAGGCCCCTCCAACAGTTACCAATGTTGTTTAGTGATGACGCAATGTCAGGATGTTCTGTTGTTTCGCCATAGATAGCTTTCTTCATCTTAAGTGACTGTTCGTAATAAGTGATAGCTTTCCTCTGATCACCAAGGTCACTCCAACATGTCCCAATGTTGTTTAGTGATGACGCAATGCCGGGATGTGGCGTTGCTTCGCCATAGATAGCTTTCATCATCTTCAGTGACTGTTCGTAGTACGTGATAGCTTTTCTCTTATCACCAAGGCCACTCCAACTATTTCCAATGTTGTTTAGTGATGACGCAATGTCGGGATGTGGCGTTGTTTCACCATAGATAGCTTTCTTCATCTTCAGTGACTGTTCGTGATAACTGATAGCTTTTCTCTGATTACCAAGGTTTCTCCAACATATCCCAATGTTTCCCAGTAATGAGGAAACTACGGGACGCATTTCGGTGCCTGCATGAATAGTATTTCCAACTCTGAGTGACCCTTCGTAGTAGCTGATCGCTTTCTCATAGTCACCACGACTGTGCGAGACACTGCCTAACTCAAAAAGTATGTTAAGCTGCTTTTCTTCGTCACCACTCGCCTCTTCCAGCGCTGCCTCAAAGTAACGTATGGATGCGTCTAACTGCAACAGCTGATGCGTGATTCGACCCCTGGTTTCAGCCGAGTTGTCAAAAATGGCAGTTGGGAATATCTTTGCTGTTCGATTATCCTTTTCAACTGTATCCATAATACATCTTTTTAATGGAATGGATGTATAGTAGTACCTGAAGAACATTTTAGAGTTTGGTATGTGGAAAACTGATTCGACGATGGTGTCATCTACGTCGAGATGTTTGCCTAGGTCCGTTTTCATCTTCGTGAGAGGAGACAGTCTGTCCTTCTGTCCTCCGTTGGCAATGTACGTTCTTAACCGTAGCTCCGCTGAGATGCTGATCAGTACAGTCAAGTGGTGGGCATCTTCGTGACTGATCCGCTGTGTCTTGTGTAACTCTTCTATCATTCCCCACACACTGGGGATCGTGATACCACAGCAAATACTCAACACATCAACGGCCACGCTGGGAAAACGGTAGATTTCCTTCTTCACATCCAGAAGTTGTGCCGTTGGTTTAACGTTTTCTATTTGTCGAATATTATCCTTTAGTATCAGCATTGCGGACAATCGCGACAGAACAGGGGAACGGTCTAAACTTTTGTTGACTCTGTTCACATAATCTTCCACCAAAGACCTGTCCCCTGTTAAGTAGGTCACCCGTCTGAGGATGTCTGACAGGTGATAGCCTTCCGCCAGGGCGATGTGCAGATGCTGATATTCGGCCAACTTGGCAGGAGTCTGGGTGAGACTAACGGCAGGTTTGCTTTTGGTTTCGTCTCTTCCAAACGGAGTCTTAGAAGCCCATGGCATGAAGCCGTCGAAGGCAAAGCCGCGAGGTGTGACGGAGTCGTAGAACCAGTTTTTCTTTGGGTCTTCTGAGAGAAAGTCATTGAGTGACAGGATGGCCATGGCTGGGAGGATGGTTTCCCCAAGGTTGATGACTTTGAGATGTAAGTAGTGTGTGAGATTTAGGAAGTACCTCCGTGTATCATCATCATCCTTCCCCTCCTCAATTAGAATGGCGGACTCCAGGTCCGAGTACGCCGTCACCAGTTCTGTGGCCTGTGACCCCAACCCGATGAAAGCGTACTTACAGGGAGGGGTACCGAGTTTGGCGATGCATTCATCTGTCAGTACTTGGATAAACTCTTGTCTTCCGAGTGTGATGCCCTTAAACAAGTTCTTGATTGCTTCAGCTCGTTTGATCTCCACCTCTCTCACGACGGGATCGTCTTTATCATACTGATAAGGGTTGTGTTCCTGATGAATTGCGTCGAGCTGAGATTTTGCACAGGCGCGCGAGTTGTCCAGTTCCTTTATGTGATCTAACGCGCTGCTATACGGACACGGTTCACAGTCAAGGTTACAGGTGTTTCTAAGAAACTGCCTGTCTGTTTCTTGCAGTTTTGTTACCATGTTTTGTTTGTCTCCATCTGTTCTGGCCATGGAGGCGTTATACAGAGCTGCCGCCTGTGTGAATTTCCTACCTTCTTCTGTCCGCTTACCTCGCTCGACGTAGACGTCACCCAACCTGCACAGACAGTCGGCTTCTTTAGCCTTGTTGGGTTTACTGCGATCTGTTGGTAGAAATTTAAAAAGATCATATAGAAGCGCTTTTTTCTTTTTAGCTTAATACAAAACCAAGTCTTTCATTGTAGAGGAATATAGGCTGATTAAATTGTCAATGAAAAATTAAGAAAAGACTTTAGATTATATTATGTATGAAAAGTTTTAACAGACCGTGAACCAGCTTCAGGGCGGCTGCTAGGTTCTGCTCTGCTGCGTCCAGGTCTCCATTTCTTACATCACGGTCTGCCGTCTGGATGTACCTGCGGTAGGATCTGAACAACGAAACAAACGTTGTGAAATAATCATGCTGTACAATAGCAATATTATGCCAATTATCCATTAGTATTGTGACATAAATCTGCACAGCCTGTACTACTGTGATTTGTATAACATTGCAGACCTAGTGCTATCGGCTACTCCTCGGCCATTTTCCACCACCTACAACACAACCAGGACAACTCCTTCAAACTCGAGACCACAGATATCTTAGACCGCGAAACACGCTGATGGGAACGGGGTGTTAAAGAGGCAAAATATGAAAGAATGTACAACCCAACCCTCAACAAGGAAGGGGCTACGGGTAGATCTCTCCGGCACTTGATATTTGGCGCTCCCTACCCCGAGGACAGACAACACTTAAGCTCCTGTTCTGCTAACAGGAGCTTTCTGACTTAGCATAAACTTGTCTTAACTTGTCTGACTTTTGTTCCCCTTTTTGACATCCAAATATTGTCTTCATTTTATTTGCATATCAATGAACAGTTTGTGCTTATAAACCTGCTTTCTCCTCTGGCTAAGCCAGTCATTGACGAAAGCTAGTGGATACTAGCTGAAACGTCTGACGTTCCAAAATTATATCCAGTTGCTTGAGTAACTGCTTTTTGGCGTATTTTATATTAAAACGTCAGTGATCTCCAAGCAGTGTGCATGCATCTGTATTTACCACATTAAGACAGACTACATATATATATCTATAATATAAAAGTACGTTGAATTTGGTCAATGGTTCCAGGTTTTGAGTAAGGTATACCAAACCAAACAGTAAACGAATACTTCAAAATCTTTGACAAGACAGGCGGAAATTTGGGAGGGGCAAATTATACACACTGCTTCTCATATTCTATATTGAAAATGCAACAAAACAACATTCTGAAATGCACACGTATACACCTGGTGTTTCTGTTTGTTGCAAGTGTTGAAGCTTAAATCATTTTTTCTTCCACAGAGTCCATTCGGGGAGCCACGGTCGTCATCACTGGCTGCAGTACCGGCATCGGCGAACAGATGGCGTACCAGTACGCTCGGCTGGGAGCGAAGATCCTCATCACAGCCAGGAGGGAGAACCGCCTCAAGGAGGTGACGGTTTCCTTAGTTTACAAAGAGAACGTCTACGTATATTGGTGACTACAAAATGCTTTGCAGAATGCATTTCTTCCAAAACAGCAACAAAGTCATTCTGTTTCTTCTTTTCACGTTTAGATTTGCAGAAGGAAAACACATTGTTCTTGCTCCGTTTCTTTTTCTTGTCCAAGCAAAAAAGGTCAATGACCTGGACCAGACGGCTGTCACCATAGTAACTGGTGCTGTAGCAGACACCCTGTGGTGTTGGATCACATTGTATATCTCTTACATGTTGCACTCTTGTTCTGTTCAGGTAGTAGCCAAGGCGAAGTCTTTCGGTGCTGAGGACGCGCACTACGTGGCCGGGGACTTTGCACCATTTTGGGATCTTTCAGGTGGTCTCGTGTTCGGGAAATCCTGCTGGTATACCTTATAGTTATACCATATCTGTACAACCAAGAATTACAGTACAGTATATTGGTGATCAACTGGACACTTGAATTCCTATCTGGCCGTAAAATTCACTCTACTTTACACTCATTCACTGTGCAGTCGCAGTAATATGTCACATTTTACCGTTTTTTTTAAATGTTGCCGTATATGGTGTTAATCATCTGTGCTATTGAAATTGGTGGCATTGGGCGTGTTTTTGCTGGGGATACGTTTTTTTATGAATTTTTTTTTTGGGGGGGGGGTCTTTCGGAAAGTGTCTGAGGGTAGTTTTATTTTGGGAGGGGGAGAGTTTGTCGCTATATCAACACTGTGTGACGAAAGAGTCGACGTGTGATGATAATGATGTACTAAATTATCCCTAGTGCCTACTGCCATAGGTGGTAGTGGAAAGACCGGGGAAAACAAGACCTATCCTGTCATCATTGTCAGCTGGTAAGAACGCACATAGGGATAGGGCTGGTGCTGTCCTTGGTGCTGATCGTGCCATTCCGCAGGTACCTGGTAGATGTCGCTTCAACACAGTATCGCTACTGGCACTTATCATAAGCAAGAGGTCTGCTAAGTCATAGGAGTTTAAATTTTACTGTCTATGTCAAAATGATGCAATTTTATTCTAAAAAAAGGCCAGCATTTTAAGCTCTCTACATCGCTGGTTGTGGAACCAGTGACACAATAGTGAATCTTGTGCCTACATATCATTCAGCCACTGCAATGTGTACAAATGTATGTCGAGGAATCAAATTTCAATGTCACTGTTTCTTAAAGAATGTTAGAAAATTGTGCCAATAAGTCTATATTATTCTGGATACAATAGTGACAGATTGCAGAACTTCGTGTTTTACAGTGCGGTCACCTTTGTCGTAGTTCGTCACCCAATTTTGGTGTTGCAGCATTTTTCAGGCAAGCCGTGACAGAATCAACTGCAGACAAGGATTGAAGGCAGCTTTTTCCAACAAGAGACTGTGCATTTTTCAGGATTTCAGTTTCAGAACTATCCCAAGAGTGACTTCAATTTGCGATTGTACTAGTATAATCCCTGATTTTTTTCACTGGACTGTTATGTTCACTGTTTTCATTGTCATCATCATTGTCACTTCTGTACTGTGAACTCATCATTACAGTTAACAAATAATTCCTGAATGTTCATGTTCTGTTTCCTGCACCTGTGTCCACCGTGAATATATAATTCCGTTGATATGTCCATTTTTCTCAGACCAACTTTTGCTACCGTGAACATAAAGTGAATTACAGTATGTGACCTGCACCTGAGTGACACTAAGTGCATATTGTGATGTAAACTCTACAGATTGCCCAACATTGTACCGTAAAACCTGTGAAGATATAGTAAAGAAGGGAAACCCTTCACTTTATTGTTGTTGCTTTTACATTTGTTCATAAAGTAAAAGGCAAACTTAACATCAAAAGTCGTTTCAGACCCCTTG